GGGGGGGGGGGGGAATCACCGAGAATAAAGCAGCGGCTCTAGCCGCTGCTAGCTACGCACAGAGGCGAGGCTGGCCTGCGGCGACGGTGGTGGCAGCAGCTCCGGTCATAGTTCCTTCAAGCTCCAATTTCTTCAATATTCTTCATCTTCTTCAATAAATTGGTAACCCAATAATTGTCAATTTCTTTTTTCTTCTCCAATTTCTTTGTTAAAGTTAGGGGTGAGCGCGGTCCCTGATGGTCCGTAATACTACCGGAACCTATCACGGACCGTTATTATTTAAACGGTTCGGTATCGGTACGTGATGAACTCCAATACCATTCAGTATCATTCCGTTTTGAAACGGAACGGTACAATATCATACACATGCTCAAACCGTGCCAAAAAGATGAACGTACATTATTTAAATAATATTGAATTTAATGTATAAATTTGTATAAAAAAGCACAAGAGTGTTAAATAAAAGTATTGATTCAAATTTAAACGGATCATAAACATAAAGAATAAAAGATAGCGAGTCCAAAGTTAAAAAATAATATCAGAATACTAATAACGATAAAAAAAAATAATACCAATAAGAATGATAAATATAATAACAACAATAATAATGAGAAAGTTAAAAAATGAATAATAAAATACGTACACGGTAAGATGAAGTGGACAAATACTCCATAATTATTTGAGATACATACTCCGTATATAGCGTTGGACGGTTCGGTCCGTGATAATCGGTTTTAAATATTTGTATCACGGTCCCGTCCCATTTGGTATTGGTTCGGTTTCGGTTCGTGATGAAAAAAATCAATCCCGTTTGAAAACACTATAAACGGTTCGGTACCATTACGGTCTGGTATGGTACCATGCTAGTTCGGTTTTTGTGCCCACCCCTAGTTAAAGTTTGTTTTTTATTCAATTTACATTCTTTTCCCTTGTGTTAATTTTGAAAATTCCAAAAATGGTTGGTGTTCTTTTTTGGATTTTTTTAATGTTTATATTAAATCCCTTATGAATGAGAATTGATTCAAACTAGTTTTTCTTCAATTATTGAGCAAGTTGTTGTTGAATTGGTTGAATTGCATAATTCAATTTCATAAGTAGGTTGGTATGTGGAATTCGGTTTTTGTTGAATCTATTTTAGCTCCATAAAATAGTTAAATGAACTCTGGATTCATATGTGATTCTGTGTCGTGCCTTGTGTTCATTGATTTTAAGGATTTTGGACTTCTTAGCCCCATAAGTTGATTCATTTTTCTTAGAGCTCGTTATTGAGTGATTGTGTATTTTCGCGTATGTTTGTTATTTTCATAAAATTAAGGTGGTTTAAGCTCAAAAACAGTTCTCAATTTATTGAAAATATGTTGTGTTCAATCATCTATATGAATAAAAAAACGTCATAGGTTTGGAAGTTCATGGAGATCTGTGGAATGTGCTCTTCTTTAGGAGAAAAGGTTTATTAAAATGCATAAGGTATTGGCGGTTTGTGAATAGATTATGCATGAGAGTTAAAATGAAAAAAAATTCGCTCTTTTATAGACTTTTTCTATAGTGAAAGTATGTTTTCATGCTTGATTGGTGAGTTGGGGTTCTAAGGTATATTTCAAAATGGGCCTTTGAATTACATGACTCCGGGCCGTGTGGAGAGTTGACAATCCTCCATATCGTGGTTAAGGAAATGAATCGACTCGGCCTTTGATTGATTTTTTCTATTCTTAAGTGCGTAAGTTACGTAATATATTATCTACGTGCCTATTATACGTGTAATGTTCAATTTGTGTTTGTTCTCTTTTTCATTTTGTTTCGGGTTTTTGGGGGTGTTTTTTGGGTTACCTTAGTTGGAGAAGTTGATTATCTTTAGAGCTTGTTTTTCCTCATTTTATCAAAAAAAAAAAAACCAAAAAAATAAGAAAAATAAAAAACCAAAAAAATATTTTCTTTTGATTCAACCCCCCCCCCCTCGTGTTTTACATTATAATATAAATTTTTATTTACCAAGTTATATTATAAGTGTTTGTTTATAAGTTATAAATATAAGTTTTTATACTTTACTATTTTTTAGTATATCTTTAGTATGTGTTTTATGTTTATAAGTTATATTATAAGTTCTTCGTTTATATAAGTTATATTTATAAGGTTTTATATTTATTTAGTTATAAGTTTTATACATTTTATCATATGTGTACTAGTTTGTTTTGTTTAGTGACAATGTGTGCGCATGCTAAATTGGTTTTCAAAAGTACAAACTTTCTCTGTGGGATCGACCCTCACATGCCCTAGCTATAGTTTTTTTTTCATTATATCTTGGGAGTTAGTTAAAGTTATTTTATAAATTTTTAATTTGTTTTGGACCGCACGACAAGTACTCAACAAAGTTTGTGTGGAAGAACTTAATATGCAGGTTCGGCGTTCCTGAGCAAATAGGGCAATGGCACTCAGTTTGCCAGCACAAGTTTTAAGGAACTCTGTGCCGCGTGGAAAATCAAACTTAGTCGAGCAGTCGTTGCCTATCCGCAATGCAACAGACAAGTGGAAAACGCCAATAGGACAATCGTGGATTGCATGAATTAGGCACTTCCTGGACGGAAGAGTTGTCCTATGTCCTATGGGCCCATAGAACCACACCGAGAAGGGCCACCGGGGAAATTGCTTTTGCCCTAACCTATGGTTTTGAGGCAAAAGTACCTACCGAGGTCTTGGTCCCTAGCACAAGGGTGGATTCAACTAACACTACAAGAATTTGTCTGGACTGCAACGGATATCTGCTACGGAAATAAATTCGTAGCAGATCTGCAACGAATCCGCGACGGAATTGTATACCTCGAAAAAAAAGCAAAATCTGCGACAGATATATATTTTCCGTCGCAAACCAGCGACGGTTTATTGGGTACCGTCGCAAATATAAGGTGGTCAAAATTTGACCTTAAAATCTGTGACGGAACCTTACCCCTGTCGCAGATCCGTCGCAGGTTTAAAGTAAAAAACGAGAGTCAAAATTTTCCAGCCATTCGTTCTTCACTTGAACCCTATCCCGATTCTCTCTCCCCCTCCGCCGTCCTGCGACTGCCACCCCCTCCGCCAGCCTTCAACGACGGTCCCCCACCTCTCCGCCGACGAGCATCCTCGCCAGCCACGCCGGACCCTCCACCTATCGTCCCGCCCAGCCGCGCGACCTCCCCAGC